TCGATCAGCTTCCTCCTGCACACCTCCTACGGGGGATGTGCCCACAACCAAGGTACATTCCCTTTACTGGAATCGAACTTGGGCCCCTTCAGTCCGCAGGCCGACGCTCTATCCACCGAGCCAAACCGGTTTCGGCGTCCTCAAACTTTTTAAACAGGGGGCCAGTTCACTGTCCCTAAGACCGTTGGAGGGCCGGACTATAGTTTTAAAAAAAACCACTGTGAACAAATTCCTGTGCACACTGCACACATCTTATTTTGAAGTAAAAAAACAGAACGGGAACAAATACAATATCACACCATTGAACACGCACGGTGTTCCCTCACCCAGTGAGTAAGATCACTGCCCACGCTGCGGCCTCCCCCCAAAACCCAAAAGCGTCAGTCCCTGCTCTTCCATTCTTTCCATGGTGCCATTCAGTATATCCTACTGATTCCCTCTCTCAGATAAATCTCAAACCCATAAGCTTTTCAGCCCGCACCCTGCGACTTCCCTGGCTCAAGGTATCCTCACGTCTCCCCTCAATGACAGAAACAGCATTCCCCCTGAATTGTCCCACTGGCATCTACTCTCCACTCTGCAGCCAGGGTGGTCCTCACACAAATTCAAACAGCCCCTTCCTCACCCTGCCTCACCCCGTGCCCGCCTCCCGACAGGGAGAGGAGGCAGAAAGCGATGGGGGCTACTATTCCAGGGAAGGTTTCTCCGGAGAACTGACACCTGATCAAAGACCCAGACCAATAACACGCACATCGGCACTTTTCTGAGGGTCATAGTCATCGTATGTGCTCTCTAAGGACCTATTTTGAAATGATAACCGACGCATCTTGCAGGGTCTCCAGCAGTAGGCGTTTCCCCAGCACTTACTTCCAGTAGATGCGTGTTCTTCTTTTTGATGACGGACCGCAGGAGGGCCTGGCTGGTCTGCAGGGTGTCCTCCACGTGCGGCAAGCACTCCGACTGGTAGTCGGCGCTGACCACGTTGAAGATGCCAATGCGCTTCTCGGTGACCATACTGACCACCTCTCTGAGGTAGCTGAGGAACTTGCCGAGGATGGCCCTAAACTCTGCGGAGGTCAGCTCGTCCATCAGGGCTATTTTCATACTCGTGACTTTGGCCCGCTCGACCATCACGCAGTATTTTGTGAACCGGCGGCTGTAACCGTTCACCAGGTTCATCGAATTGCCAAGGATGGTCAGGAGGCACACAATCTGTAAGTAAAAACGTGACAGCGTGTTACTTTGGGAGTGAAGAGAGCATGGCCCGATCTACTCGTAATTCTGTTAAAAACATGCAAAACAGCAGTTATCTGTCCAGTTCGTGTCATTAGAAAAACCTCTACTAAATAGGTATGTTGGAAACATAAGACTAAGACATTCACAGCACTTTTTAAAAAATATATTTTATTGATTTTTTTTTTTACAGAGAGGAAGGGAGAGGGATAGAAAGTTAGAAACATCGATGGGAGAGAAACATCGATCAGCTGCTTCCTGCACGCCCCCTACTGGGGATGTGCCCGCAACCAAGGTACATGCCCTTGACCGGAATAGAACCTGGGACCCTTCAGTCTGCAGGCTGACGCTCTATCCACTGAGCCACACCGGTTAGGGCTCACATCACTTTTTTATATTTGGCATTTATGTAAAGGTATACAAGGCGATTGAACTATATAGTTAGCATCTACTAGAGACACCAACCGGTTATTTGCTGGTCACCGGGGTTTAGTGTATGTGCTCTATGCCCTAGGAAAGGCCAGTCCTAGCCCTGGTCGGTTTGCTCAGTGGTCAGAGCGTCAGCCCACGGACTAAAGGGTTGCAGGTTCGATTCCCGGTCAAGGGCATGCACCTTGGTTGCAGGTTTGAACCCTGGCCCCGGTCAGGGCACATGAGGAAGGCAACCAATCGATATGTCTCTCACATCAATGTTTCTCTCTCTCTCTCTCTCCCCCTTGCCCTCTCTCCATTTTACTCTTTCTAAAAGTTAATGGGGGGTGGGGGGAACTATCTTTGGGTGAGAATTAAAAAAAGAAAGAAAAGGCCAGTTCTATATACTATGTGACATTACCCAATTCCCAAAACACGGCTACTCTGGATAGGGTAGAATCCTGATCCAAGCTAAAACCATTACATTCTCTCATGAATTTGAACAACAAATACCCAGTTTGCCCTGGCCGGTTTGGCTCACTGGATGGAGCGTCGGCCTGGGGACTGAAGGGTCCCGGGTTCAATTCCGGTCGGGGGCATGTACCTTGGTTGCAGGCACATCCCCAGTGGGGGGCATGAAGGAGGCAGCTGATCGATGCTTCTCTCTCATCGATGTTTCTAGCATTCTATCCCTCTCCCTTCCTCTCTGTAAAAAATCAATAAAATATATATTTTAAAAAAACCACCTAGTTAGATGGTAGTGGGAAAAGCCAGGGTCATGGCAAGTCAACAAAACAGCAAGACAATATTCAGAGGGGACATGAAGGAGAAAGCCCATTCTCAGAGGTTAGTTGGGGAATAAGAAGTGAACAGAGGTGAAATATCATGAGGAGGAAGAAAAAAATGGGAAGGATTTTCCAATCAATGAAAAATTATCGTACCATTTATAACAAGTCCCTTTCACCTAAGAACGTCAGTGGGTTTCTGGTCATTCAGGCAGATATTCCCCCAAGACGCACTGTCTTTAAACTTACTTTGTTTTGGTAGGCAGGGTCCGTTTCAAACAGGATCTGACAATCTGGCCATGGGGGTGGCTCCTTAGCGTCTGCCCCCCTTTCTGTCGCACTCAATAACTCCGGATCCGTGAAATCAGCCAGGCGGGGATCTCGGTCAAGAGGAATAATTTGGGCTAAAATATACGAGTAAAAAGTTAATATTTTCCCAAGTCCCGACACCGTATAATTACCCATGACATCTAGAACTACTGATAACTGAAACTGGTTTATCATGGGGACTAGACGGTACAAATGGGACTTAAAGGCAGGTGTAAAAGTTGGGGTTTAATATCAGGGGAACAAAAGAAGCACCCACAGGTGATTGGTGGCAGCGCGACGAGGCATGATTAAAACGGAAACTGAGAATAAGCCATTAAGTTGAACGACCCTTTCACAGGGGTCACCTAAGACCACCGGAAAACACATCTATAATTACATATTGTTTTTGTGATTCATCACTATGCTTTAATGATGTTCAATCTGTAACAATGAAAATACATCCTGCACATCAGATATTTACATGACGATTCATAACAGTAGCAACATTGCAGTTATGAAGTAGCAACGAAAATAATTCTATGGTTGGGGGTCACCACAACATGAGGAACTGTATTAAAGGGTCACGGCATTAGGAAGGTTGAGAACCACTGTTCTAGGACTTATAGTGGAAAGGGAGAGGC